GTGCACCGGGGAAAGAAGCAAAGATGCTACCTGGGGAGGGCAGGGCTGCAGCAGCTCTGACTTGTACCCCTTTGGACACCCCCTTGGGGTTATGATGTAAGAAGGGGACAGTTTCCTTCGGAGTGGTGGCAGTGATTTCTGCCCTCAGCTCTGTGCTGCTTCTCTGTCTAAAATACAAGCCCAGGGCTAGGTAGGACAGCTGCTTTTACTGTGACCCCCCAATCTGCCCCAGCGTTCCACCCTGGCCACAGATCAGGGTGCTCCCAGGGACCAGGGCACAAGCTGAGGCAGTCTGGCAGAATCTTCCCTGCACCTTGGCTCTTACCTGCTGTGGAAATATAAATTACAGGAAGAGGCAACAGGAAACTGTTCACTGTTTTGCTTTTATCTCAGTGAGAAAGGGCAGTTGTTTCAGAGCTCTGTCTTCTTTGTTCTCTGATACCTGAGGAGAGGGGGAATGTCCAGGCACATGAATCTAAAACAGAAGTGCTGGCCCTATCTGGCAGAGCCACAGACCAGAGTGCACAAAGATGATAAATATTTTTAATTAGTTATTGTTCCGTGTTTATTTGTTAATTTATATTCTCAAATTTGCCGCTATATGTGCATGTGTGTGTAATTCTTGTGAACACTACATGCAGGTACTTGTTGAAGAAAATCACTATAAAAAGTAATAGGAGGTGGGAGTTGTGGTGAGAGATGTGCAGCCTAAAAATTCAAAATTGTGAATGATTTCCTTAAAAGGAGATGCTGACATCTGAAAAACAAAGTCCTGTAATTAAGGTTTGGCTTTGTGCTTGCTCTGCTCTTAATATGCCTGAGTGCCTTGGCACAAATCTGCTGGTTGTTATATCTACAAAATGGAGAAGGCTTTTTTTCAGCAAAAGTTATGAAAATACCAAAGCAATGGAAAATAAACAAAACTTGTTGAACAGTTTATAGTTCCTCTGATCTCTTTCAGATATTTATTTCATCGTCATTTTCCCAGTTTTAGAATTTAGGAGGGACTATTTAATGTTAAAGGGCTCAAGCAGATGCCCAAACTTGTGATTTTTACCTCTGTAAATTTGTTTTAGAGTTTGTATTTTCCTCTGACAAACCTATTCTTAAGATGGAATCCTGAGAATCAAATTGAGTCTTGTTCTTGTTTACTTTTAGATGCCTGTCTTAGATGTCAAGCTGAAAACAAACAAGAAGATTGCGTTGGTATGTAGTGATTTCATTCGCTTGTTTTTCAATTGAAGCTTCTCTCAGTATGGTGCATGTGAAAGTTTGGAGGGAATACATTTATTAATGCTCAGAAGTAAGCTGGTGCTTCATTCTACGTTGTGTCATCTTTTTACATTACTGATACTCTATGCTTTATTTTTGAGCCCCAATAAAATCAGTTTTCACGTCAGCTGGGCTGTAAAACAAAACAGCTTCAAATTTGCTGTCAATACCTACACAGCTGGGAGGTTGAAGTTTCACTGTGAGCATATCTGAGGAGATCCTGATGTGCATTTTTGAAGTGGGGAGGAAAAAGCTACTTTTTCTTCTGAGATGCCAGGCAGAAGAGACAATGGTATCAGCAATAAAAATCCTGTGTTCCTGAATAAATGCACATCTGGGTTACAAAGGGGTGTTTTTCCCACCCTTAAATCAGACATAATGGAGGCATGGCTTGTTTGTTCACTTCGCTTTTTAAGCAGTGCAATCACTTGAGTTTGTTGTAATTCTATTTAAGCAGGAACATACTTTCCGTGCCAGTGTATGCAAAAGACAATCTTAATTGTGACATGCTCGATTTGGAAACGGTGCAAACTTGTTTCAAAGAGTTTGCTTTAAACCTTTAAGACAACTTTTGAACCAGTGGAAGACCTTTCCGTGCTGTTGTGCTTTGTGTCTTGAAATATATTGTCTCAAACTTAATCCACTGTGGGTTTTTGATGACAGAGAAGTGATTATCTTCAGGATGATCAATAATACTTCAGTTCCAGGGGATAAATTAGTGAGGACCTGTTTTGTCTCTGAAGCTTCTAGTGGCTGTAAATATTTGATAATGCTCATTTGGACCTCGCTGCAGGTGTTGATGGAACAGCTGAGTGTGACTGGAACGTGTTCTCTCTTCTCTTTCAGTGGTTTGGGGAGAATGCAATCATTCCTTCCACAACTGCTGCATGTCCCTGTGGGTGAAACAGAATAACCGCTGTCCCCTGTGCCAGCAGGACTGGGTAGTCCAGAGAATAGGCAAATAAAACCTGACCTGGAGGTTTTCTGGCTGTTGGACTCGTTGAAACAGTGTGTGTCTGATGCACAGGAACGGAACGTGTCAATCACAACGTGACTCTTTAGTTGATCTGCTGCGAGGGCGGGGGGGGCTTGGTTTGTGCTCTTGGCTGTAGGAGGAGGCAGTGGTCGGTCAGTCCTACTGCAGCTGTCCCACAGCTGAAAGGACAGACACTCTGTTAAAATGTATCTGCTACACAGTTCAAGTGTTACCTTTATCACAGCAGAGGAGCGTGGTGGTGCAGATTATACCTAATTTAATGTTTTTCCATAGAGAAATGAATTAACTGAAAGGGCGACCTGACCTGTAAGTCTGATACACTGCATAGTTTACCGTCAAGAAAATGTTTTCTAAGTAGTATTGTACACAAAACCACAGTCAGTGTGTTTTTTAGGAACTATTTTGGTTTTTAATCTGAAATGAAGAGTGTTGAAAACATTTACCATGTGCTTTTCCCGTCACGCTTCATTAAACATTTCTAATTCAGGTTTTCTTCTGTTGTGTCTCCAAGGCTGCTGCTGTTATAATCTGTACATAATTTCTACACCGTAATATTCAAATTTAACCACGTCAGTAATTTTTTAGTTGTGTTTCTCTTAATGGTCATGGAGACATGCATTTTTAATCCAGAGAGATGTGGTACAAAGGCATGGGTTTGATATCAGTTAACTAGAGGTGTAGACAATCTTGCTCCTTAGCTCACTAATATAGGAAGCAAACAAAGTGGATCATTTAAATATCCCAAGGAAAACAAGGAAAACTAACTAAATTTATGGGGAAAAAACGCTTAGTTGTGGTTTCATGAAAATTCAGTTAATAGAAATTTCGTTATTATCTTTTTACTGATTACAGTGTTTTGGAAGCGTTGTTGCATTTTTATGGAAATCCTCAATATGTCATCTTTTTTATATGAATTGTGATTTTTTTTCTTACAAATATTTAAGTGCTTGCCTCTGACTCTGTCTTTTCCCTAAATATCTAAAGGAATTACTCTTAATCTGAACATATGCTGTGGAGTGTTTTTAATATGTGAAATGGAGAGGTAGAATTCCTGGTTTAAGTCTGTAACAAATTCAGGATTAATAAAATGGTTAATAAACATGGGTGAAATTGAAGCAATATTATATGCATTGTTTACTTCAGAATGATCACCTTAAATGTTTCATGTGTTTCTCAGCAGATGTGCTTCTATCTGGTTCTGTTTAAGTACATTTAAAGAGGTATAAAGTAGTTCCAGTGGCAATCTTTGTGTCATCAAACATTTATGCAGAGTTTACTGTGGTTTTGTTTATTACTTGTAATCTTGGTTTTAAAGATGTTTTAAATTTTTTAAGTACAGCTTTTGTCTCATTACACACTGAGATCAAAAAACTCCCCCGTGTCACTGTTCCACTGCGTCCCATCCCGTGCCATCATCCCAGATGATGTCTGTGTTTTAACATCGAGTCCCCTCAGAGGATTTCTTTCTTCATCTCTCGTTGGTCTGGAGATGAATATGGAGAGGACCAAGCCCTGCTTTTAATTCACATCACGTGCGTGGCAGGAGTCCCTGAGAATTACAGTTGTAGGAGAGTTTTTCCAAAGGTTTGGGTCAAAGGGGTATTGACACAAATGAGGTATTAGGGGAGTTAATGTTGAAATCAAAGCAGCTGATCCTGGTGTGTGTCTGAAGTACCTTGCTGAGCAGTAGTTGAGGTTTGTCTAGAACATAAGGTAATGAATTTTAAGTCCTGCATATTTTGTCTGTGATTTAGGATGAGCTTAGGTCCCATTCTTTCTATCAGCTTTGCACCAGAGAAATGTTCTTTTCCAAATAATTTCCTGATGTTCCATTAGCACAGGTCTTAGTAAGCCCCCGTTTTCAGTTCTGTCATTGTTCACCTCCTGTGCCTGCAAAATAAATCAGTTTTGCTTCTCACCCAAACATACTGTTTTATGCGTAGGTAACACCATCTTAAACAGCTTTTATTAATTAATAGATTAATGCTGAGCTCCTTTTTTTTGCAGTGATTTAATAAATTTAATAAGTCAGCAAGCACATCTAGCTAGAACTTTGTCTCTAAAGTGCCTGGAGTAATGAATATGAGTTGAATGATCATATTCTTTGATTTTGCTTTTCGTGAAATTATGTTCTTTGAGTGAAAGTTCACGTTCCATAGAAAGTAGGAAAGAGTCTACTTATCAGAGTAGAATGGTTTTTGAAGCTGTAAATGTTTGTCTTACACAGGTTCCAGAAACATTGGGTATTCTCTTGATTTGCTTAGACATGAATATATCAGTAGCTGGTGTAAGCTCAGCCTCAGGACCCACCTCCCAGCCATTCGTACTGCTGCTCTTTGACCTTCTGACCCCGCTCAATTTTAGGACCTGAAATGAAAGCTTTGTTACCTCCTTTCTTTCTTTTCTCTACCCAGGATATTACAGGAACGTGTTGCTGCAGGAAAGCCAGCGGGAGAATTCCCCATCCCTTGCTCTGGCTATTTTGGGCGTTGCCCACACTGCACCGTTCAGCCCTTTATGTAAGCAGCCCCTGGCCCTGCCTGCTCTCACCTGGCACAGCTGGGCAGGCTTTCAGCTGCTGTGCCCCGGAGCACCCCTGTTAACGTGCACACACAGCAGCTCACAATGGATGGCCCTCTCAGTCTCACCTGCAAAACACACAGCTGTGAGTTCTGTGTCAAGACAGGATTCATGCTTGTGAAAATAAAATACTGCATGGTAGCACAGTGGCCAAAAGCAGCCAAGGGCTCAGCACTTACTGTGGGGAGTCTGAGAGGTGCCTGTTGTTACTCTTCGTGTTCAGTTTTTGTGATTCAGCTCCTCAGCTTTCTCTAAGACCGGGGAAGAAACTTGACCTTGACCTCAAGAGTGCAGCTTGACCCCAGTGCTACTGGAGGAATCAGGAAACTTCTTTTCTTGTTCCCATAATGCCTTCCTTACGCTTAAAGAAAGTTTTAACAGCCAGATCACCTGACCCCACAGCAGAAGGGGGCTTAGCCTAGTAAGTGCCACACATAATGTTTATTCTTTTGAGGGAAAAAAAATTGCCTCCTGGTAGGCAGCCAGCAAGTGAAGTCAAGTGGAATTTGCCTTCACTTGATTGTAATCAGCTTTGTCCCTTTGTTGATGTCACCTCAGCTATCTGCAGTTACCGTCTTCTCATCCCGACACTTCTCTGTCATAAAGCTCAGCAGAGAAAATAAACTGAGGCCAAAATATGGGAGTGTTCTGGCAAGATTTGGCTGGTCGTGTGAAGTGGTTTTGCTTTTTCTGTGGGTAGGGGATGAAGTCAGAAGTGGACGTTGTTTCGTATGTAGGGATCACTATTTTTAGTTCTTAGCCTGCACCTAATCTGCTCAGACAGAGCAATGCCAGGCATCCGGGCTGGCATGAGCTGTCTGTGGGAGCTCATCACTGGTGCTGAGTATAACCTGAGTTTTGGAAGTGTGGAGGCTCAAACTGTGTGGTGATTTAAAGCTCAACATCTCACGTTCATCTGTGTCAGCTTCTGTTTCAGGCATGGCAGATCTGTGCTGAAAGCTTTTCATAAAGTCAGATCCCAGCATATGGAACTGTGGCTGTGGTGGAGTTCTCTGTCGAGTGAGGGAGATCCAGGGCTGTCCTGACTGTGGCCAAAGTGCTCCTGGGTTGGAGAGAGCATTTACCGCACACCCCTGTCTCAGCATGTTCCCAGCAGCCAGGACAGTGCGAGTGGGGGGAATCTCAGTACATGTAAGCGTTGTCAGGGCCCATTCTGAAAAACACCAGCTGACCCACGTGCACTTGGTGCTGCCAGTGGGAAGGTTTGCCCAGGATGTCATCCCTCAGCTATACATAGCAAACTCAAAGCTCCTTACAGAGAAACCTCTTACCAGTCACTTTCCACAAATGGTGCATATATCTAAAGGTACTTAGTGAAAATCCTTGAGAGGTATTTAATGCAAAAGCAGTTGGTCTCTGGTGTTTTTCAGAAGCCCTCACCACACCAGGGCAGGGAGCAGTGCAGGGCAGCTCCAGCACAGCGCTTGGGCCAGCTCTTCCTTTTGTGTGAAACCGGGCTCTGCCACCCCGAGAGCTCGCCAAGATGTGTGACATGGGGGGGCTCGACAACCTGATTGCCAACACGGCCTACCTGCAGGCCAGGAAGAGCGGGGAGGCAGACACCAAGGAGATGCAAAAGAGACGTAAGAGCCTTTCCCTGCCCAAACTTGACCAGTGCAAAGAGGAGAGAGAGTCCATCGTGGCTGACTACGACAGCATCTGTGAGCAGCAGCCCATCGGCAAGAAATTCTTCCGAGACTTCCTGGAGACGGTGCCAGAGTATTTGGTAGCTAGGGACTTCCTGGATGAGGTGTCAAACTGGGAGCTGGCAGAGGACAATATCAAGAGCAGTACCATGGAGAATATGGTCACCAATTTCCTTAAGGAAGGCTCCAAGAACTATCTGTCTTTCATGAGCTCTGACTTGGTCAGCAAGTGCCAGGCAGCTACCGCAAAAGACTATGAGAATGTCATTCAGCTGGCCAGGGACGAAACCAAAGTCTTCCTTAAAGACAAGCCCTTCCAGGATTTCCAGGCGAGCCCCTTCTATGACAAATTCATCCAATGGAAGGTTTTTGAGAAGCAGCCGGTAACTGATAAATACTTCTATGAGTTCCGAGTGCTGGGCAAAGGTGGCTTTGGAGAGGTAAGAGCTGCACTTTTAAGGATGTGAGTCATCCCTCCCCTTTCAAGACCAGCAGGTGGGTTTGCAAAGAGCAGCGGATTAAGAAATTGTGTAAAGATTTGCAAAACTGCCCCTTCACGTTGCCCGTTTTCCAGGGATTGGGCTGGGTTGTTTGTGCTGTGATGGGGTTAGTGAAGAGCTGCTTTAAAGTTTCTGCATTCTGTATCTATGCTAGTAAAAAACCAGGCTTCTTTACTAAACCTTGCATCACTGTCCATATAGTTAAGTATTAATCTGCTCCTTGGCACCATTGTAGCCTTGCTAGCTCACACACTCCCAGTTAATTCCCAGCTGCAGTGTAGGGAATAGCATGCCCTGTTCCCAAATTACAGCGTGACTGAGGCTACCTTTTTTGAGAGGGTTTAACTGTACAGGTGCAATCTGTATGTGCTGCTTATTCTCTTGATTACACAATGTTGTTCTTGTCCTTGTTCCTTTTCCTAATACGTCTGCTAATGGTGTCCTCAAGAACTTTGCACCAGGTCAACCTGGTTCAGAGCAGAACAGGTTGTACTGATGTTTTTTTTCCCTTATTTTCTCTGCTAATTCACTCTGCCATGGAAGTTAGCATCAGCAGCATCAGTGATTCCCCAGTTTCTGCCTGTTACTACCCTTGATATTCCAGTCCCCGTGTCAGATTCCTTCATTACCTTCCCATATGCATCTTCTCTAGGTCTGTGCCATCCAGGTGAAAAATACCGGCAAGATGTATGCCTGCAAGAAACTGGATAAAAAAAGGTTGAAAAAGAAAAACGGAGAGAAGATGGCACTGCTGGAGAAAGAGATCCTGGAGAAGGTCAACAGCCCTTTCATAGTCACCCTGGCTTATGCCTATGAGAGCAAAACCCACCTGTGTCTCGTCATGAGCCTCATGAATGGAGGGGATCTGAAGTATCACATCTACAACGTGGGAGAACGGGGTTTGGAAATGAAGAGGATCATTTATTACTCGGCTCAGATCACCTGTGGGATTCTGCACCTCCATTCCATCAACATCGTGTACCGGGATATGAAACCGGAAAATGTCCTCCTGGATGATAATGGGAATTGCAGACTGTCTGATCTTGGATTGGCAGTGCAAGTCAAAGAGGGAAAACCCATAACTCAGAGGGTGAGTACAAATTCACTGAACGTGGGAAGGGAAGCTGTTCTATTCTAGGGCCTGATGAGTCCAGGGCTTAGTTCCCCGCAATTTATTCTTTGCTAAAGACCTTACATAGTCATTTCATTCTGAGAGACAGGTTGTAAGAAGATTTGGTTAATTGACTGTCTAGATGCTGCATGTAGTAAAATAACTTACTTTGCACAGAAAGAGGAGAATCAACTTGGCCTGTTGTTTCTCTTGAGTTCTTGAACCAACCATTTTAGGGGGGCAGATGCCTTGTGCCTTGAGCAACCCTGCAAAGTCAAGGGTTTAACCAATGACTTGTTTAATGAGCAGCAGTCAAACATGTGACTCCTTGTATTCCACTTTTGCTCCTGGAAGAGTACAGTTTCTTACACGTTACTCTTAAGTGATTGCACAGCAGGTGTTTGTGGCGCTGCACAATAAACCGTTGCCAACCTTCCTCCTCCCCACAAATTAATTCCTGATAAAGTTAGCGCATCTGACAGTTTGTCTGCACGTGTAGGGAGAGAAAGGTGGATGGCCAGGTGGATTTTGTTGTGTAAATTTGCTTGTGCAGCCCTTAGCTGTGCCTGTGGTCATCCCAAACTCTCCTGGGTTTGTAGTAACGTCAGGAGGTTTACACAAGAAATCTGTAGGGAACTTAACTATGAAAAAGGCCAACTTCCCTCAAGGCATCTGGAGCTTAAAGATAAAAATAATGAGAGAATGTGTCTGAAGCACACTAAGAATATGAAGAAAGAGAGGCAACATTAGAATAACCTGGTCTAGCTGCCTTGTGTTAAACTCCCCAAGTCTCTCACACAAGAAATTCAGTAGAGGGGAGGACCTTCGAGTGGCTTTTTGCCCCACACTTGAAATGCATGTTTTTTGATGTCGATAAATACAGTAATTTTGAAGGATATTTTCTTTTCCTGGTGATTTAGGAAGTTTGTATTATGACTGGCTTTAGTTCTCACTGAAAGAAAAGATGGAAACTGCTGTATGTACAGACAGTAAATAATTATAAAATGGGACTGTGTAGTGGTTTGGATACAAAATGCAGTTTCTCTGGAAGCTAAGGCAGGTTTTTAAGTAGAACTTACATGAAATGGGAATGCTGGTTTGTTTGTGAAGGTTGCATTTCGATCAGTGAACCCAAAGCTATAAACTCATTGCTGTGCAAGTTCCAGATCCATGCAGTCACCACGGGCAGAAAAAATAAAATGTTGTCCAAGGGCAGGTTTTTTCACTTATAAACATATGGGGTTTGGCAGAGGAAAAACTCCAGAATAAAAGAGTGTGTTTAGCAGTGTGTGACCACTTCTGTGGGTATTAGGGTTGAATGTCAAAGCAGTACTGGTCAAGGTGGTTGTTCCTCACCTGTGACAGCCATCAAGCTGTAAATGACTCTTCTTCTGTTGTCCACTGGTTTTAGAAGCTCAATTCACTGCTGTCTGTGTGCTTTTATTGGGGCAAAAGCTGCAGTGAATGGTGTACTGCATGATTGTCATGAGGCACGGGAATTTCTGTTAAAGGCAGCTTTATTAATTCAGAACATTGAAATCAGAAGAGGGAAAAAGAAGGTGGTTTTTTTCATTTTCTGGATCATAACTATGAGTGAGTTAAATCAATAATAATTCCCAGTATCCTTTTGCATTTCTGTAAACTGGTCATCCTTGAATCCTTGGAAAGCTCCTCCTAAAAAACACTGTGTGAGGGTTGGATATTGTTATTATTTAGACTAATGTCATACACAGGAAGACCACAGAACAGCTTTACAAAGTTTGCATTAAGCTTCACCAGGTACCCCTGCAATAAAATAAAAATGGTGCTGTTAAAGTAATTTTTATTCACACTTCTATTGTGACTTAAAACCAGCAGAGAATTTACATCATAGCATGCTTTTTTTAAAAAAAAAAGTGATTTATATAGATCTAGTTTTTTTCACCCAAAAGGGTATGTGGCTCCAAGACAGGTTTATCAAATGAAATCTAATCAGTTCACCATTTTGTGGACACAGTTGTCTGAGTGAAGGGCCTGACGTCATAGAGCTGTTTCTGGATTTTGGATGATGCTCTGCACTGACAATTTAAGGCTTACAGTTTTCAGTCACTAATTAAGGGATATCACTATTGATCTGTAGAATGTAATATATGGATTTATCTGTGTATTCATTTCATTAGAAATTGCAAAAATTACACTGTTTTGATGAATTCTACAAGTTTTGTACTCCTTTCATGGGTGTACAAGCTATTAATGATGAAATTTCTGATGCCTTCAAAGCATAAGAAAAAATTCCCAGCCCCTCAGTTATGAATAAATGCACATCACCCACACATCACCTGGAGGATCCATTAATCCCTTTTCTAAATCTCATTAGGTGATTAGGTTGTCACATGGCACAAGTAATGAGCTGGTTAATGAGTTCCCCTTTTAGACATTTTCTGAGTTTTCAGTGAAGGTGTCTATGAAAATATAACACTTATATGCTGTTCACCAGCCCCATTTTCTTTTTGGGTAGAAAGGGGTTTTTGACTTTTAGATGGGCGACTTCAATGTGGTCTTTTTAAGTGTGTGTTTATGGTGCAGCAAAGGCATTGTGCAACTGGTGATTTAATACTTATGTAAGTGAAGTAGCAGCCTTGGTGTATTCTTTGAGGACTGGCATTACATATCCTCCTTCTGAAAAATAGTTGTGTGCTCTGTACCAATTGCCTGCAGTTATTATAAATATTAATATTTCAGAACCAGTGCTCCTTGCAAAGATCTAGAAATGAGTTGTTCTCAGTTGCTGAAGCATCCAGTGGAAACATCCAGCTTTCCATGTGAATGTCACTTTGAACAAATATAGGCAGTTGTAAGTAATAGGTATAGTAATAAGGACAGAATTTAGAAAACTTAAATTTCACTACACGTGCCAGTTTGTCTTTGTGAAGTGCCAACTGGCTTTGGAATGGAGAAATCACCAAAAAAAAAACCCACACAAGTTTGACTAACAACAGTGTTGGAAATAAAAGCAAGTAGAAGTTAATTGAAAGCTATTTACAATGTGTTTTTTCTTCATCAGACGTGGATTAGGTGGGATCTTCTCAGGACACATACATGTGCCTGTGCAATCTGCCCAGAAATGTGTATGTATTCACACTTACTCAGAGCTCCTCCTGACCCCAATGCAAACAGGAACTCTTTCCCAGTGGTAATACAATTATTCAGGATTTTAAGAAATCCCATGATCTCACACAAATGTGCCTGTAGCGTCTCATCTGATGTGTGGGTCGTTCTGTGCACAAAACTGGCTTGTATCTGAAAATGATGCCTTTGAAAATGTTGATGTTCTCTGTCTTATATAACTGAGACAGAGAACCAGGAGGAACTGAGAGCCTGCAAAGGGGGCTTTTTATAGACAGGTGTTTTATCTGTTTATGTGCCCGATTGACTCTTGAACTAGTTTATTTTATATATGACAGAAATGAGGAGCCTCCATCCCAAGTTTCTCCACTTGAACAGTTTGACCTGTCCCCTTTTTATTGAAGTCTCTGCAGCTTTTTCTCGTACTACTCAAAACTCACTTCTTGTGTGTGAGTCAAACGCTCCTGTCCTTGTCCAAAAAAGGAATGCTTCTTAATTAGACCTTAATGAAACCTGAGAATGGTTGTGAGGGAAGTCAGTTTGTTCATCCTCTTCACACTGAAATACAGAGGACCCAATTCCATTTTTCCAGAAGTCAGTGTGTGTTTGCCGTTAATTTTGGGAAGAACTCTCTGCCCTCACTGGGTATGGCTTTTGTGCAAGACAACTGTGGCATGTAAATTGTGAAGGACTTTTGTGCAGATGCGTGTGAGCCAGGGAGCTTAAATATTGACATGATAACTGCGGAAAAATAACACAAACATATTTTTGTGGTATTTGTAAAAGTGCATTCACAGCTTCAGAGGTTTCAGGCTTCTTCGCAGTTTTCCTGTGCTATGTTTTATATATTTGAAGGACATCATAATATTTTTATAGGAAAAACATGTTTTGGTTAAAATCTTACTCAAAACGTCCTTTTGCCCTCCTGTATGTTTGTTTATTATAAGATTCTATTTCTTAGGAAAACAGAAGAAAATCTATTTAGATGTTCCTGAAACTTGCAGTTTAATTTCAAGGCAGTTGAGAAGCGGGAGGAGGGTTTAGACTTGTGAAATAAAAAATAACTCAGCAAGCTATTCGGCAGTTGACCTCTGTCCATTATCACGTGGCATTCTTATTGGATAAGATTCTGTACAAATTCGCTCTTCCCTTGCACTTTGAAAAATGACAGCTCCTTTGTTCAGAATTAGAGGGACTCGCTGCTGTTTCGCAGTTTCAAACCCACCGTTCTGCTTATGAATTTTTAAGTAGGACATGCAAGGTTGGTGCTTTTGCTAGCAAAACTTTGTTCTTAAAAATGTTGTCAGTCACAGTTGTTTTGAACTGCATCACCATGATGGGTGTTTCAGGTTTTTTTTAATCTCTGAAACGTGCACTTTGCAGAACGTAGCCTTATCCACACAGGTCTGTGGGGCCAGCTGGGAGCTGGCAGAAGTGCTCGCCAAGCCCCTTCCCATCATTTACCAGTTGTCCTGAAAAACCAGGGAGGTCCCTGGACTCAAAATGAGGACTCATTCTGGCTGGACATGAGCAATTGTGGTGTCCATCCACAGGACAGGCCAGAAGGAGCATCCAGGGAGCTGCAGACCTGTCAGCCTGACCTCGGTGCTAGAGAAGGTCACAGAGCAGATCTTCTTGAGGGCTGGCACACAGCACACACCACACAACCAGGGGATCAGGCCCAGCCAGCACAGGGTTGTGAATGGCAGGTCCTGCCTGGCCGTCCTGATCTCCTTCTGAGACAGGGTCACCCGCTCTGTGGATGAGGGGAAGGCTGTGGATGTGCCTGCCTGGACTGGGGGAAGTTCTTTGTCCCTGTTTCCCACAGCATTCTCCTGGAGAAGCTCGTGGCTTGGATGGCTGTGCTGTTCCCT